AAGGGGTATTCTACAAAGCTTTAAATGGGGAGGCTCCATCTCAAGGTCCATTACCCCTTACCCTTTTGTATACATTTGTACCATTTGATAGAAAAGGCACCTCTTGTAGACCTGTCATTGCAAAAGGGCACATATACCCCTTTACAAACCTATTAAAGGATACTGCATCCCTTTCCTATTTATTCCCTTGGAAAGTCTAAGTTAATAGACAATATTTCAGAACTCCTCATTCTGGCTCAGGAGAGTATACGAGAGCTTTTCAACAACATTTTAGAACCAGAAGAGTAGAAATCCCTAAATGACAGATCTCACTACCCTTTCATTCACCTCAACTTGTGAAATCCCTATCATTTTTTAATTACATGTATACCTGAAGCCTGAAAGAGGTACCCAGTTTGAGCTGAGCCTCCCCATACAGGTCATTACAGGGAGTCTTCCCACATACACAGGCCAGGAATTATTGACAAGTAGTGATGAAGCTGGCCTTAAGACAGGTCTGAGCCAGCTTCTTCAGTTTTTGAGCACAAACTTGTGAACTCTGTGAACTTCTTGTACGAAACCTTTTCTTTGCTGATCTGGGTCGGAGTTCACGGACACTAGCATCACTCTCACAACACTAACACTAATAATGTCACTCACAGTCCGATTCTTCAGTTCCACTGCACCATGTTTCGTCATTACTCATCATTGTCAGACAGGAGTTCAGTAGCTTGTAAANTTGATAGAAAAGGCACCTCTTGTAGACCTGTCATTGCAAAAGGGCACATATACCCCTTTACAAACCTATTTAAGAATACTGCATCCCTTTCCTATTTATTCCCTTGGAAAGTCTAAGTTAATCAACAATATTTTAGAACTCCTCATTCTGGCTGAGGAGAGTATATGAGAGCTTTTCAACAACATTTTAGAACCAGAAGAGTAGAAATCCCCAAATGACAGATCTCACTAACCTTTCATGCACCTCAACTTGTGAAATCCCTATTATATTTTAATTACATGTATACCTAAAGCCTGAAAGAGGTACCCAGTTTGAGCTGAGCCTCCTCATACAGGTCATTACAGGGAGTCTTCCCACATACACAGGTCAGGAATTATTGACAAGTAGTGATGAAGCTGGCCTTAAGACAGGTTTGAGCCAGCTTCTTCAGTTTTTGAGCACAAACTTGTTGCTCTCTGTGAACTTCTTGTACGAAACCTTTTCTTTGTTGATCTGGGTCCGAGTTCACGGACATTAGCATCACTCTCACAACACTAACACTAATAATGTCACTCACAGTCCGATTCTTCAGTTCCACTGCACCATGTTTCGTCATTACTCATCATTGTCAGACAGGAGTTCAGTAGCTTGTAAAATTCACCAGCCTGGTAGTATCACTGTTGCTATTGCCTGTTCCCAGACTTCCTTTTATGGCTGGGTGTAGGGGAATGATATTTCACTACTGTTTACAAACAGTTTGTTAAGATGGCATATTAAAAGAGTGACACAATTCAAGTCTAAAAGAGAGAATTGTCAGAATTGGTAGTGTTCTCTCATTCACTTAGGGACTGAAATGTCTTGATGTAAGATTATATAGAGAAATAATGCAAAATGTATGATTAACCTTTCAAAATGGGTTACCAGTATGATAGGGATTAAAAGATAAGGAACTCGGTCTGCAGACAGGGAAAATTAGAAGGTCTGAAGAAGTTAAAGGTGCATGCTTGACCTCATGGGATTGGGCGGGTGGGGGGGTATTGGAACTTAGTGTTGCTGCCATTTAACACTCTTGAAACAAAAAAATAAATTTGATTACGA